GCTTTCCAGGGCTTCCCCCTTGGGCGGCGGAACCTTTTACTTTCGTCGTGGCTCTTGACTCGTTGTGGTTCGCCCTTCTCGCCCCCCCCCCCCCCCACCCCCTGAGCCTGAGCCCCAGCTCCCCTGAGCCACCCACCCTTGGGAGCCTTCCTCCGTCCAGCCTTCCTCCGTCCAGGCTTCCTAGTCCTTCGCAGCTCCTTTGTGCAAGAGCCAGGGCACGCGTGCCACTTGTTCCGCGTCGCACCCCCCCCCCTCCCCTCCGCGTCCCCAGCGCCAGAGTGGGACCACCGCGCCGTGGCTCTCTGCCCCGAGCCCCCCCGCGCCCCCCGCGCTCCAGCGGGAACCCCGCCCACTGCCCCTTCCGCCACGAACGCTTGATTCCGCGTCGCGGCGCACACCATCTCCCACCTCCCCACTCCGCGCCCCCAACGCCCTAGGGGGGGTTCCGCCCCGTGCCCCTTCCGCCCCGACAATTTTATTCCGCGTCGCGACGCACACCACCTCCCCCCCATCCCCCCCGTCCCCAGCGCTCCAGTTCGGCCCCCGCCCCATGGCCCGCTGCCCCAAGCTCCGCCCAGTGCCCCCTCCGCCCCGACTATTTTATCCCGCGTCGCGACGTACACTACTTCCCCCACCCTCCCCCCTCGCGTCCCCAGCGCCCCGGTAGGAGCCCATCCCAGTCACCCCGAGCCCCCCCCCGCGTCCCGAGAGCTCCAGTAGGAGCCCCGCCCACAGCCCCCTCCGCCACGAGCGTTTTCTTCCGCGTCGCACGGCCCCCACCGTCGTCCCGCCCCCACGATCGTTCTCCCCTCCCCGCCCGCCCAGTGCACCCCGCCCCCGCTCCGATCATTTTATTTCTGCGGCGCACCGCCCCCGCCGTCCCGTCCCCCCGAGACTTTTCCGATTCCTCGTCCCCTCTCTCCCCCCCTTTCCTCCTCCTCCTCCTCCTCCTCCTTCTCCTCTTCTTCTTCCTCCTTCTCCTTCTCTTCCTCCTTTTCCTCCTTCCCCCTCCGTTTTGTGCTAGAGCCAGGCACGCGTGCCATTCGTTTCGTCTTGAGGAGGAGGAGGAGACGACTTCGAGGAGGAGGAGGAGCAGGAGGAGGAGGACGAGGAGGAGGAGGAGGAGGAGGAGGAGGAGAAGGAACCGTTTCCTTGTTCGCGATCTTCTGCGCTCGAGCAGCCACAGCCTCCGTTGGTCCGCCAGCAAACGTGATTACATAAGAGGAGAGGCCAGGGCGGGGGGGGGGGGGCAGAGGGCATTGGACCATTTGATTGTCTGTGTGTGTGAGAGAAATCCAGCTGGTCCTATTGTAGGCATGCCGCGCCGTCCCCGCACCAAGCCAGCTGGACCTTATGCCGTCGATGTCAACACGTTGCTCCCATAGTTTGTCGCCGCTGCTACCTCTCGCGCCCACTGCACAGCTTATTGCTGAGCGTCGCACGGTCAACACATTCATTCGTACGCATCTTTGGGCGGATGCTTCTCGAGGAGCACGCGAAGCAGATGCAGCGCGGAGAGGAGCAGATGTCTCGAGCAAGGATGCCCACCCCGGCTCACATCTAGCAGCAGTGACATGAAAGGAATGTGTAATCGGGCAGGTGACCAGAAAGACACGTTGTGGTTGAAGCGAGATGGGAACTGGAGTGTTGGTGTGTGTATATACATATGTATGTATGTATGTATGTATGTATGTATGTATGGATGGATGGATGTATGTATGTATGTATGTATGTGTGTATGTATGCATGCATGCATGCATGCATGTATGCATGTATGCATGTATGCATGTATGAATGTATGCATGTATGCATGTATGCGTCTATGCATGTATGCATGTATGCATATATGTATGCATGTATGCATGTATGCATGTATGCATGTATGCATGTATGCATGTATGCATGCATGCATTTATGTATGCATGCATGCATGCATGAATGCATGTATGTATGTATGTATGTATGTATGTATGTATGCATGCATGCATGCATGCATGTATGTATGTATGTATATATATATGTATGTATGTATGTATGTATGTATGTATGTATGTATGTATGTATGTATGTATGTATGTATGTATGTATGTATGTATGTATGTATGTGTATACATACAAGACTGCAGTGGCGCTTCGCGCCATGCACCTTGGTCCTTGAAGTTTGGCATGCAGGCGGAATAGCAGGAAGGTCGAGTCGACAAATTAGCGATAACTCCTTGTTGCCTTTTCTGGCATCGCCGCTATAATAATGTTATTCGGTATCCTTCCTCCATGCTTCTTTTCATTTATTTTCGCCATACGCTGGGCATTCTCCTCATCCTCCTCAGCTCTTTTTTGCGGAGGCTCCTCCTTGGAGAGCCTCTGGGGGCCTCACACAAGTTGTTTTAGGCTTTCTTAAGGCCTTCTGGAGGCCTCCTGGGCGTATTCTGGGGGCATCCGGGGGCTTCCTCGGGCCACCCTGCCTCCAACCGCGGTCTCCCTGAACGACCGGGTCACGATTTCGAATGCTACGGAGGGTGTCTTTGGGCCATCTTGGGCCGCTATGGAGCTCTATGAGGGCCATCTTGGACCCGTGTTGTGCCGTTTTGGGGCTCTTTTGGTCTGCCTGAAGCCCTTTCGGATGGTTGTGGGGCGATTTGGGAGCCTCCCAGGCGGCTTCGGACGCCCAGAATATCGCCGTCTTGGAGCGTCGGGAAGCCGAAAAGAGGAGAACCCCCAAATTCACCAAAAACCATTAGAAAATCAATGATTTTTGCCTCGGGGGGCCTTCTTGGAAATGCTCCTGGAGCCCTCTTTGGGGCCGTCCTGGAGGCCTCTTGGGCCATCTTGAGCTCACGACGGTCACTCTTGAAACGCTCTTGTGCTGTCTTGGGGGTCTCTGGGACGTCTCCGATGACCCTCCTGATCGCCGTAGGTGTGCTGGGAAGGTTTGGCAAAACGCCCTGCGAGGATCTGGGGGCCGCTTCGAGGCCCCTCCAGAGGGTCCCCAATTCCCAGATCCCGGGAGTCCGGTTTTGGGGGGGGTCACGGGCTTCCCCCCCGCCCAGGCTTGTAAAAATATAGGAAGAGGAATATGCCCCAGCCCGTCCCCCTCTTTTTCGCGGCTCAGCCAGAGAGCCTTGTTCAGGAGGGAGCGGGGGCCTTAGAGCTATTGGGGGCCCAAGGAGACGCCTGGAAAGGGAGCCCCCGGGGGTCTGAGCATACACGCGGCGCCAGCTTCGCCAGCACGACCGTGCTGTCCCCGACCCGGGGACCCGCAGGACCAATCTCCCGACCACCAGGGTGCACACTAGGACCACGCTACCCTCCAGAAGACAAATCCAGGCAGAGACACAGGAGGTGGCCCAAGATGACTACGGAGTTCAAGGACGGCTGAGCCGCACATACACAGAGGGACTTGGGGCATAATCTTTTCGGGGAGATGCCATATGCCCCAGCCCGTCCCCTTCTTTTTCGCGGCACGACCGTGCTGTCCCGGACGCGGGGGCCCGCAAGACCAATCTCCCGGCCACCAGGGTGCACTTTAGGACCACGCTACCCTTCTATGGACCCCATTTCTGTCCTGTAAGGACGTTCCCCCCCCCATGCCCTGGCCTGGATTAAACCTACCCGTCTACCTGACAAGGGAGGAGGGGAGGGGCATGAGAGAGTGTCTATGAGGAAAAGTGGGGTAGGTGGAGGGGGAAAACATATCGAATCAGGAGCGACGCGAGTGCCCGAGCGTCCCGAGCGTCGGCTTCCTGTGACTCGCTGAGCTGGCATGCTGCCAGAGCTGCAACTGCATCTTGTACATATACACGGGCTGACGGGCGAGAAAATCGGCTGCGGCCCGCCCGCTCCTGAGGGAGTAGAGGGTGACCTTCTTTTTTTCCAGCCCAAGTGCGGCGACAGCCCACCTGAAGAGGCGGCAAAACTCGCCTCGTGTCAGTCCGAGGATCACTTCGTCTGGACCGAGCGGTCCGACGTGAGCTTGTGGCAGGCGAACGGCGTTTGCGGAGCACGCGATTGCCAGCAGAGCGTGGCCTCCCCGCGGGCCGGTCTTCGTCCCGCGAAGGGCCAGGATGGCGGTGGAGCGCTCGGGAAAAATCTGACGTCCTGCCGCTGGAGCCCCAGCATCTCGCCTGACCTTAAAAAGCACAAGTAGTCACACATGAGGAGCGCAGCCGCGCGGCCGTGGCCCCACCAGTGGACGGCCCCGGCGACGGCTGCCGCAAACAGGGGCGACAGCGTCAGGGCCCGCTCGTGGGCTCCAGCCGCAGCCAAGTCTTCTGCAGCTTCCAGCCCCGCTTGAGCTTGCCACTGAGTCTCGGCGTGAACTAGGCCACGGCTGTCAAAGCGCCGTTCACCTTCAGCAGTGAGCCGCCCTCGCGCCTCACGTGCTCGATGTAGGCGGCCACGCTCTCATCGACCTCCTGGCCAAGCCTGGGCTGCCTGCCTGCTGCCACCCAGAAGGCTAGGAGCCGGCGCTTGGCGAGCACATGGCGCTCGCGGGTGGCCCGCGCCAAGCGAGCGTCACCGAGGGGCGGGGCCTGGCGGCGCCTGCGCGCCTCGGCTGCTCGCCGCACCAGCACCTCGCGGCTCGCGGAGCGGGCAGCCCCATCGGGCCCCGTCGAACCAGCGGGACGGGACGTCATCCGGGTTCTCGTCTGCGTCGATGTACGCGTACATCGGGCATTTGCCAGAGGCCAGGAGGTACGCCGCGTGGCCGCGCATCCAGTGCCAGAGCCGTCGCGCGCTGCACCTTCCTTCCCCTGGACGCTGGCGGCGACCTGCGAATCCAGGGGGTGGAGGTACCTGGACTGGAACCTCACAGCGGTCCGCGACCTCCACTTGATGGCGTTGACCGCGGCGCCGACCTCGAGCTCATTGAGGTGGGCGTCCTCGCGTCACGGGTAGCCGTGTCCAATCGACCAAGCCCGCAAGTTCGTTTGCAATCCTGAGCGGGGCGACGCAGGGGCCCTGAATGGCCCCTGCAGATCGAGCCTCACGCCCGCTCCGCCCCTGCTGGCGACGCGCAGATACTCGAGGACCAGCTGCTGCGCGAGGTCCGTATCCTGCGCCCCTGTCGACTCGAAGTCGGGCGCGCGGCCCGAGGGCTCCGGGGCTGTGCTGGTGATCAGGAACGGCAAGATGGGGGGCGCGCCCTGCTTGGTCTCTTGATCCAGGAGCTGCGCGAGGACGTGCGACGCGACTTGCACCGAGAAGGGGTTGCTGATGGGCGATGACCTGATGACTTTTGTTTCCCGGCTCGGTGCCGATTCCTTCGCGGCCGCGCGTATATAGCCCCTGTCAAAGCCCATCAGAGTCTCGCGCTCATTTGCCGAGGGGATCAGCCGCGCAGTACGCGAGGTGTTCCACAGCAGCATCTCATCTTCAAAGTTGTACACCTGCGAGACGTACCTGGCCTCCGTCCACCTCGCGATGGCAGTCTCGCTCGTGCTCTTGATCCCCGCGACCGGCGCCGACGGCGAGACCCGCTTGTGCAACTTTGCAAAGGTGCGAAGCGCATGAGATGGAACGAGGATGCTCCAGCCGTCCTCGGCCCAGGCAGGGGGCCCCCCATGGGGCGACATGCAGCGTCGCCTTGCGGTGCCTCGCCTCTTCGGTGACATCGATCACTCCTGCGCGCGGCCGCAGGGCCCGTGACAACCAGTGCAGCCTCAGTCTCCTAACCAAGCCCACGTCCATCGCATCGGTCCTGCACGGCTTGATCCCCAGCTGCTGCGAGATGAGCAGCGAGTCCTCAGCGTTCATCCCAGCGACGTTCTCGACGAGCCAGCGGGTCCGCCTCGCGCCGAAGGCCTGCGCGACAGCCTTGGTGGCGCGCGGCGCCCTGAAGAACAGGCTGCTCTTGTTGCCCGCGAGGCCCCGCCCGTTTGCGTCGAGCCCGCTGAGGTCGGGGCCTGGCGAGCCGGCAGTCGCGATGGCGAAGCTGGCGGTCTCGGCGGCTGCGCGCGCGACCTTGGCCCGGTCTTTTTGGAGCTGAGCTTGGCGATGTCCTCGAGCTCGATCACGCCCGGCCACCGCTGCCAAGCGCGCCGCTGGGCTGCTTTGTCGATCACCGACGACCTTGAAGGTCGCATCTGCTCTAATGAGGAACTTAGTTCCTTGATAAACTAAGGCAAACGAGCTTTTCCTGATTAGAGCAAACAGGCTTTTCCAACATAGGCTGCATGTTCGCAAAAATCGCCGGCGTCGGGCCCGTCGCCCCTCCTGGACAGGAGGGAACAGAGGAGGCGCAGGAAACCGCGCGATCCGTATAGCCGTCGCGGTTCCAGCCCATCCAATCTTTATCCAATATCGCATTTTCCTTTTGCGCGTCGCACCATGGCGGAGGAACGGGTGCAGAACGCAGCTTCGGTGGAGAGCATGGAGAACTTGGTGAAGCCATGCCAGAAGGAGATACTTGCAATGAAGATTTTCTAATCTGACATGGATGACGCGGTCGCCAACAACATGGCTTTCTTGGGCGGTGTCATTCTGATCACGCAGCGGATCTCAGAGCCTCAACTGCGAGATGCGATCACCCATGAGCTCGGCGCGCCCAGAAATGACGCCAGCATGTATGCGAAGCAGCTTTCGGCTTCTCTCTCGCACGCCCTCGCCAAGTGGAGGGGGGACGTTGACGGATCAAGGTCGCACCCCGCAGTGAAGCAGGTCGGTGAGATTGGGAGGCTGCAGGCAGGCAGCTAAAGAAAGCGAAGGCGAGGGCCCCCAGCAGGAGCAGATCCCCGTCGCGCGCGCGGCCTCCGAGCACCCCAGCCAGCGGGTCCGCGACGAGCCCAGGATCTATCTACAAGGCGCGCCACGCGAAGGCGCCGACGGGCACCCCGCTGAACGCGAAGATCTTGAGGCCACATCTGGGCGACCCCATCAGCGTCGCGCCCTCGCCGGGCGGCGCCGCCGCCCCCAGGGGGAACCTTCCCGCCGAGACGGGCGACAAGAAGAAAAATAACGAGAAGTTCGAGATTTTCACTGTCGACTACGACCGCGCGCCCCTGATAGGGCAGAGCGGCGCGACGACCGCGGAGTGCAAGTTGGCGCCGGGGCCCGACGGCATGTGCGCGGCCAAAGTGCACGGAGACGACGAGGAGACGGAGGTGCCGAATGCCATGTAGGAGACGTGGTCCAAGAGGAAGACGAAGGGAACGGGCGGGCCTCTCAAGAGACCCGCCGCTGCCGCGCAGAAGCCTGCAGGGGTTTGGAACGAGAAGGGGCGCGCCGCCGCCGAGGACGACAAGGGGGGGGGGGGGGGGGGCAGCCCGAGCCCGACGAGGTCGAGGTGGAGGAACTGGAGGTGCCCGCGGTCAAGAAGGCGAAGCCCGCTGCAGCGGTTGCCCCCGAGCGGAAATACACCGCGATGTGGTGCAAGAGGGACTGGTGCAGCGCCGTGCGGGAGAATTTCGGCAACGAGCGTCAGGCGTGCTCTATCGGCAAGAAATCCGACCGCTACAGCAAGGAGGAGAAGATGAAGGCGGCGGAGGGGCTCGCGAAATTGCTGCATGAGAACAAAAGTAAGCTGCTGGCGCAGATCTCCGCCGCAATGGGGGGCATTTCGGCGCAGCCCTCAAGCGCCCCCTGACCTCGTAGACAGCCCCGCAGAAGGCCTTCTGGCGGGGCTCGCGTTTACGCGGCTACAACCGGCCCCTCTGCAAGCGGAAGGGCAACGAGATCTTGGATTCTCCGTGAGGGATGCCGCGCGGTGCGTGCTATAGATTCACTGGGGCGAAAGCGACGCCAGGCCGTTCTTGCTCGGCGGCTGGCGCGGCGGACCGACTGCAAGCGAGCATGATATTTCGGGGGCAGCGTATATGTGCGCACATGAATACGCATACGCGCGCCATGCAGGCGAGGTTCGGCGGCGGCGGGGCGGCGACGAGCGTCCGTTGGCGACGGCGACGGCGACCGCGCACGCGCGCGCACTCGCGCGCGTGCACGCGCGCGCGCGCATTGCCACAAACATGTGCGCCCAATACATATCAGTTTGCATTATGTTATATATAAATATATGTATGTATCGTAGATATGGTTATATATGTATCGTAGATGTGGTTATGTCTACACTGGTAGCGTGCTTTCAATCAGCAGCTTGTTCAGTTTCGTGTTATGCGGAAGCGCTGCGACAGTTTGCCCGCCCCCATGTGCAGGAGGGCGCTGAGAAGGGAGAAAGTGGGCGCCAGGGAGAGAGAGCTCCAGACTGATACTGCTTGAAGACGCTTCGGCTTTGAGGCCGCCGAGGGCCTAGAGAGGGCGCGCGAGGGCCCAGGGCGGGCCTGCCCGAGCAGCGAGGGAGGTCGCCGCGAGGTGTGCCGCCGGCAGCCATGCCCCCCTTGGCTCTGCTGCTGGCCCTGACCAGCAAGGCGATTGCATTAGCAGCAGAGGAAGGGATGGGGGAGGGAGAGAACGCGGACAGCACGGGCAGAGGGGCGCAGGGGGGGAGGGGAGATGGGGATGAGGGGGGAGGGGAGGGGGGGGGGGGGGAGGGGGAGGAGGAGGATGGGGGGGGGGAGGAAGGAGGAAGGAGGATGGAGGGGGGAGGAAGGAGGAAGGAGGAAGGAGGAAGTAGGAGGAGGAGGAGGAGGAGGAGGAGGAGAGATCCGCCAGGCGATGGACGTCGACCTTCGCATGGCGTCGCCTGGAGGAGGAGATGGCCCCCCTGGCGGCGGCCCCCCTGACGGGGGCGGCCGCAGGCGCGGGGGCGACCCCAAGGGCGGCGGCGTCAACCTCACGGGCGACGACGACGAGGGGGGGGATGAGGAGGAGCAGCTTGGCGGGTTGCGCAAGGCCCCCTTCGGCATGCACCTGCGCCGCCCGCCATGCAAGTGCAGGCGCTGCGGGGAGATGAAGTGCATCGGCAGCGGCTTGTGCCTCTCGCTGAAGTGCCAGAACTGGAGCAGAGCCAACCGCCGCCACAGCGCAACCTTCGGCCTCTACGAGCCCCCCAACAGGACGCAGGGCGCGAGGAAGAAGAGCAAGGGCAGGAAGAGAGAAGAGCGCGGAGCCTAGCGGTCGCGGAGCGCGATCGGCTTGCAACTCAGGCTTAAGGTGATTTGGTTTGTTAGCTCCTTCTTGCCATCCTGTGCAGGGGCGTCCCTCCTGTACAGGAGGGCGCCCCTAGGTGGTGGCGGCGCATCAAGCAGCGCGAGGGGCAAGAGATCGCAGAGCACGGGCGCATCCTCGTGCCCCCGAGGCCGAAACCGACGGGTCCCAAGACTGGCCCAATGCGGACGCCCATCGTGCATTTCGAGGTTGGCACGGCACCTACGCGCTATCCTGGCGACTCTGCGCCCCCCTGCTTCCCGAAGCCTGCGCCAAAGGGCCCGCCAGCGATGCCGCCGCCAACGCTGAAGCCGAAGCCCAAGTATGGCCCCCGCCCGCCAGCCGCTCCACCGCCAGATCACCTCCGCAAAACTGGCCCAGTCCCATCTAATGCTGACATGATGAAAACGCCAAGGCAAGCGGCGGCAGCACCCACGGCGCATGAGGCGGCGCAGGAGGTCGCGCGCACGCTCCAGCAGCAGCAGCAGCAGCAGCCGCAAGTGATAGTGATGCCGTGCACGCCTCCGCGGCATGCCTGGCCTCAGGCGTCGATGCCCCAAGGCACTCTGCAGCCGCTGCCGTTCCCCAACATGCAGTTCGCAGCAGGGGCAGCGCCGCCGCCACCGCCACCGCCGCAGACCGCAGCAGGGCAGCAGCCGCCGCCACCGCCCCAGGCAGCGCGCCACGCAGCTGCGAAGGGGGGGCACGCCTTCCCTCCAGAACCGCCGCATACGGCAGCCTCCCCAGCAGCAGAGCCAGGCGCCGCCGAAGCCCCGCCAGAATGCGAGGCGACAGGCGCAGAGGGGGGCGACGGAGGCAGCAACCGATGCGACTCTGAGAGTGAAGAAGAGCTGCTGCTGACGCGTGAGGAAGAAATTCTAGCGGCAGCGGCAGCAGCGGCAACCGAAGCGAACATGCTTGCAGTGAAGGGCGAGGCTGCAGACGACTCTGATTCCGAATGCGAGATCATCTCCATGCAGGTACCGAACATGCAGAAGATCCGCCAGGCCGTAAGAAGAGAGCAGCAGGGCGCCGCCAGCAGCAGCGCCAGCGGCATGGCAACGCCAGCGGGGCCAAACACCGCCGAGGAGGAGCCCGACACCGCAGAGGCCGCGGCAGAGGCGCAGGCGCCCGAGGCAGCAGCAGCAACGCAAACCGAGCTGCGGCGCCTGCGCGGAAAACAAAGCCGACCACCTGCGAAAAAGGGCACCGCGGCGCGCGAACAGGACCCCATCCCAGCCAGGAGGCGGCTCCGCCGCAGCCGGCGGAGGAAGCGGCGCCGCCGCAGCAGACGGCTCCCAGCCAGGAGGCAGCTCCGCCGCAGCCGACGACTCCCATCGAGCTGCTGCCTCCGCCGACGCCGACGGCTCCCAGCCATGAGGCGGCAGACGCTGCTCTTCCAGCCCCGACGACGCCCGAGGGTTAGAAAGGCCCTGAGAATCGGGCAAGAGCAAGGGAACAAGCTGAGGCAGCCCAAGCAGCGTACGACGCCACCGCAGGACAACGGCGCGCTGCTGAGCTAGAGAGCCCAGACCCCGCCGCTCAGCCCACCTCCGCCGCTGACCAGAGCAAGAAGCGCCAGCCCGACATGCAGAGCGTCGGCGACGGCCCTCCCGAGACGATACAGGAGGACGACGAGGACAAGGGCGACGGCGGCTCCGAGCCAGACGGCGGCAAGGAGCAGGCCGCCTAGAGAGAGGCAGTCTCTTCCTCGCAGCGCGCCCTGCGACGCGCCGGTGGCCGCGCGCCACGAACAAAAAAAACACATAATCATAAGCATAATCGCATCAGCCTCCTGCGCAGGAGGCACCGCTTCCAGGGGCGGAAGGGGCAGGCAGAATGGTGGAGGCGAAGTCAGACGGAGGAGAGGCGACATGCAGGCATCGATGCCGCATGCGTAGCCATGTTGGTTCCGCAGAGGAGAGCAGCGCCGCCTGCCAGAGGTCGCGTCGGACCGATGTCACCACCGACCCGAGGAAGGCGAGGCAGCTGTCAGAGGTCGCGTCGGACCGACCCCACCACCGACCCATCTCCGCACGGAAATCTTCAGACACAATTCTTTCGAAAGATTTCGTTCGAAAGAATTATGTCGCAGACTTTCCTATGGTTTAGAAGGAAACTGCACGAAATAATTCTTTCGAGCGAATTCTTTCGAACGAATTGTGTGATGGGGGCTTTCTGAGGGCCCCCCTTCAGGACCTAATCAACTCCTGCGTGGATCTCTGCGAGCAGGCTCTCGCGTCGCACTCGAGTTCTGAGCGAAGGTTGTGCGGTTCTTCTCATGCGTATCATAAATGTAATACGTATTCATATATGTCATACGCATACATGCGTTACCTTGCGCGCGTCGCACATGCGCCTGCACGCGCGCGCCACGTCCAGTCACATAGCGCGCTGCGCACACGCTGCGCACGCCTGCGCACGCGCACCATCTGCGTAGGCGGCGGTGGCGGCAGCGGCAGGTGAGTTGGCAAGCAAGGCAATATCGCACGCGCGCTTATCATGCGTCCAAACGCCGCCCCCGTCAAATAAACTCAACACTTGCAGTCGGCGAGCCGTCCAACCGCTAAGCGGGCGGTGCTGGTGCCGTTCGGCTCTTTGCGTAGATCGCATTGTTTCGCCGCGCTGAGCAGATGTGACTTGCCCGCAGGTCTTCGCGGCCGCGCTACGCTCGCAGAGTCTTTTCGTGCCGCCGTAAACCCAGGCGGTGAGGTCACCGCAGACATGCCCTTTGAAAAAGTAACGACACCCAGCTGCGACTTCTTTTGCCCTCCTGCACAGGAGGGCGACGGAGGAGGAAGAGGATGAGGATGAGGAGGGAGAGGAGGTGGGATATTTTGTCCGGAAGGAGGGCCGCGGGCCTCCTGGCGGTGCGCATCTGCTCTGCGCGCCGCAGGACTGATTGGACATCTGGAGTTCTTTCGGCTCCAGATCTGCCGCTTGCTCCAGCATCTTCGGCGCCCGCCCGCCGTGGGCCCTGGTTCCGCGATGACATCGCCGTTCTTCGTTCTCTTGGCGCGCATGCCGCATTGCCTGCCAGCGTCTGCGATCGGGGCCGCCCTGAGCGCGCGCATGCCAGTTAAACAAGCCAAGGCCAAGGCCAAGCCCAAGCAGACCGCCCTCGATCACGGCGCGTTGAATCGCACGCTCACTTCCCCGAGGCACCAGACCAGCGCCGCCGCCAAGGACGAGGAGAAGAAGAAGGCCGCCAAGGAAGCGTAGGCGAAGTGGAACTCTCTTGTTAACGTCGAGGATAAGAGGCGCTTCTTGAAGATGTGGGAGGATAACGGCCGCGGTAGAACCTCGTCGGGATTGCAGTTCGCTTTGCGCTTCGAGCAATCGTGTGTTCATCAGTAATGGGATGAGTTTTCAAGCAAGGAGAAGTATCTCATCCCCGCGGAGATCCTCAAGGAGAAGGGCTACTCTTTCATGGATTTCGACACCCGCAAGGAGACCATCGAGTTTGCAGCCACGAAGAGAACGCGAAAGAATTCGACGCCAAGGAGGCGAATCCCCCGTGCATTCATGACGCGAATGAGGAATTGAGCAGATATTTCTTCGCGGCGGACGAGGGGCATCGGAAGTCCTGGAAGCAGACCCAGCCCAAGAAGATTTCTGGCGGCACGGCTGTGAAGAACGGGGCGCAGCTCCTGAGCGTGTGCGACAGCGTGGGCGCCCCGTTGGCAGTGCCAGCGCCATCATCCGACTCGAATGTGCAGATCAAGGACGAGGGCCCCGCGATCCCCGAGGTGAAGGAGGCGGCGGGACTTCTAAAGACCGAAAAGGAAAATTGACCTTCGCTCCTCTCTCTTCCTGTTCCGCCGCCCCCTGCTCCCTGATCGGCACTGGGCGGCAGGGGCGCGGCGGGTGGGGGGCGGGGGGGGGGGGGGGGGGCTCGGAGCTTTGGTTTTCTGCCTCCCAGGGCTGACTTGGATGGGCCGCAGCAGATCCAGGCGACTCTGCGCCAGCGCAAGAGCCAGCTCGCTGCGAAGAGCAGGGCCGCCAAGGAGTATGCTAAGAAGAAGCTTTGGCCGGACTACTCGGCGGAGTTTGAGAGCAGCGTCAATGTCCTGGGTAACTTCGTGGACGATTGCTACTGCCACATCGCAGTAGCCGAGGGCGCGCACTCCATGGACACGAAGGATTTGCCCGCTCTCAAGAAGAAGCTCGCTGGCGCGAAGGGAATGCTCGAGCACCACCTGGCAGGATCGAAGGCTTGCAGGCGCAAGTATTCCGAGCTGCTCGAGCACGTGCGAGGCCCTGGCAGGCGCGCGCGAGCACGCTCGACGGGGAGGGGCGGAGGGCGCGGGCGACGGGATGGACAGCTAGGAGGGGCAGGGTGACCATGAGATGACCAGGTAGACGAGACTTGTATACAAGCATGGGGGATGGACATCCAGGAGGGACAGTGAGATTGAATGACATGCGTTCGCAGAGCGTGCTGCCGCAACCGCACGTATACCTTAGCGGTTCGCCGCCACTTCATGCACTCCGGAAAACCGCGCCCCCTCCTGCGCAGGAGGGCGCATGCAAGCATCGATCCTTCATCTTTTTTGTCTTCCGTATCAGCTTTGCGGCCCATCAGGCATTCCTTCCCCCCCCCCCCGAGGGCCGCTACGCTCGGCAAGCGCAAGCGCCATTGCGACACTGCGGCTCTTCCCGCTGACAGGAGGTCGAGGGCGACCGCGGGCGCGCTACTGACGACCAACGCGCTCACCTACAACCAGGCCCAGTAGCTCTTCGACGACTCCCGCGCGGGGGGGCACACAGGGGTGCTCTCCTTGACCAGCCACCGATGAGGTGATGAGAAACGCAAATGGGCACGCGTCGGCGGCAATGTATCTAGGAGGCTGCGGAGACGAATGCTTCGAGGGAGCTTGTGGCCCAGACCGTACTTCGCGCAGGTCCGCTGTTGGAACCAGAGGCGCAGCCGCGAGCAGAAGGAGCGGGTCGCTCTCGGCTTGCCACGCGAATATTTTGCCCAGTTGCTGAAAGACGGCTCGTTTGAGAAGCTGGAGGGCGTAAGCGGCCTGGGCAAAGTGGGGGCAGATCATGCGCAACGCTGCCTCTCGGCAATGCAAGCTGATTCGGTGCTTCCTGCAGGCTTGGGGGCCGACGGCGCCCCCTGCCAGTGGGGCCGCGATCAGTCAGTAGAACTCGCGTGCTTAAATTTGCTTGGGCTGCCGAAAACGATGGAGCACAAGCTGCGCGTGCCCATCGCTGGCTTGATGAAGGCCTCCATGAGCACGAACATGTGGCATGACAGTTTCGATGTGATTGCTTGGGGTTTTCGGCTCATGGCTACAGGTGTATACCCTGCCGCCCGCTACGACGGCGCAGCGTGGTTAAAGTCTGGCTTTCACAGGGCCAAGAAGGCATCTGCAGATCTGGGGTGCAGGTCCGCGCTGGTGCAAATGCGCGCAGATTGGGGACGTTGGAAAAATGTATTCGGGTTCCCGCAGTTCAACGAGGAGGCGGGGTGCTGCTGGAGGTGCCACGTGACGCCGCAGCAGGCCCCTCCTCCCGTGCCCCCCCTCGCCTGCCTCCTCGCGCTCCTCTTCGCCCCACGCGCCCCGCTCCCCTCGTTTCTCGCCCGCGCAGGTCTTCCAGCCAGAGCGCATCTGCAGCGCGGCGCCGTGGCGGGGCAACAGGCGCACGAAGGCGCAATTGATCCACCACCTAATGAAACATGATGTCACAATACCGCCAATGATGTCAATCCCTTGGGTTGACCAATCCGTCTGGAGAATCGATTGGTTACGCGCAGTTGATTTGGGCGCTGCAGCAGATTGGTTGGCGCAAATGTTTTTTTCGCATTGATTCAACTTAAGAAATTTAGTTGTCCCACGAACGACGCGCAGTGCCAAGAGTTGTGGAATCGCCTGGGTATTGGTACGAGCAGAACCCAGAGATGGATCGCGTTCATTCCTTGACCATGAAAACGATCAAGCACAAGAAGGTAATGCTGCTTTCAGGGCAGGCTGCTGCCGTTATCAGGCACATGATACCCTCTGGGAAGCACTCGCCGACGAGCTCTGCGACCCGG